GAAGAGGAGGATCTATGGAACAAGATTTGAATAGTCTGAGTCAATCGAACGAGTTGGCGGAAAGTTGGCCGATAATTGACGAGTTTACTTGATGATCAAGGATCGAAGGCGGTGAAAGAGGATGAATAACTGAAATGCGTGTTCCAAGTGGAAGGAGAAGCTTGAAAATGATTAAGAGTTAGCCAATGGGATGTCATTCGATACGATAAGATGTGATCATGAGAGTTCTTGACGAGCTGATGATGCAAGCAAGAGGCTGATAAGGTGATGTGAGAGGGTGGTGGCCAGTGAATTGAGATGATGAAATCCAGGGAAGCGGGCGGGACAGTATGTATGATATTTTGGGAGATTTGCTATGATTTCGGCGGTGACTGCTCGATGGATGTCAAGTTGCCAAGACTGAGATGGAAAATAGGCAAACGGTCCGCAAAGGCCAAGGGATTATTCAGATGGAGATTGACTTGTGAAGTTACAGCGTTCATTCGTTCACTGAGACTGTATAAGGTGTGGATGTACCAACAACAATTAACAACAAATCAGTACTCAAAACAACCCATCCACCACCAATCGTCACCTTCACAGAACGTACATCAATGCATCCACGAAGAAGTCCACCCGGGAAGAACAGAAGAATATCAGTATTATGTCATCAATGAACTCCAGAGTCTTTAATTAGAGCTGATTTTGAACTACTTACATGATATTTCAACCGACCTGCTGGATGGTAGTTAGTAACAGTTATCCGCTGAGATCGAGTCGAGTAGTTGCGTCTTCCTGAGCGGACTAACACGAAGAGTGCTTTATGAAATCGATCGGTTGTTTTCTTCAGTCGTCCCTGGAGATGTCCTGAGTTCCCTTTGAATCAGCCTTCCTTCAGTGGGGTGAGTGAGGGTGTTATGATTGTATGTAGTGCTTGTTGACCGTCAATATTGATTCGACTGTGCTACGCTCTGAACCTCTGCCAGTGGCCAGTTACCATGGGAGTACACACACATCGACCAGACCCAGCTCGATTTGAAGCATCCACACGCCCGACTCGGCTGGCTGTGGTCACCCACCCAGTTGTGGCGGCTGGGGGCTTCATTTGAGCATGTGTGTGTTCATGTTGGCCGGTATGTACAGCAGGCAGCTGGCAACCATCGGGCTGCTGTTCTTCAGACATGATTTGTACAACCGGTTGATCAGTTGCACACCAGTTATTGGCTTATATCGGAAAACTTATGATTGCTGACTGTTCCAACACTTCTCTCTTCAGATGATTTTTCACTATTACCATGTGTAAATTGATGATTGATTTTGCTTTGAGTTGAAGGGATCCTAAAGTTGAGGTGTAGTTTCTTGTGTTGGTTGTTGCTAGGAGCTGATGAGGAATTTAAACATATTCCACACACAATCAGCCAGTTTCATACATAATTGGAAATTCATTAATTTTTACCTATTCACCATGATTACTCGCAAAAATATGTATAGAAAATCTTTTGAGGAGTAGAGCAGATAGCAAAATGGGACATTGAACATCTGGTTAACAATTTAGGGAAATCAAAACTGTGGACCTGATAAAGCTTTCAATCATTCAGCAAACACAATCAATTATTTGATTACTATCACAAGCATAAAACAATTCAATTGACCCATCTGTCCAAAGTACAAAAAAACCTATTTTGAATTCAATCCTTTTTTTCACAAGTCAAACAAAATTGTATCAAGAGTTTATGGAGTAGGTTTTTAAACTACCTAGCCTTTTTTTTACCCAGGTATTATCTTCAGTGTATGAAATCAAAGACCTCAAAGCTGGAAGATCTACTAAAAATTTGGATTTTTCAGCTTAAAAAACTGATCATATTTAACATGCATTATTAGATTTTGAGGATGGGCATAACATGTGGGCCAGTTAAACCTACGTGAACCAAAGTGGGAACAAAATTACCAAAAATAATGGTGGCTGTGATGAGGCTGCTGGTGAGTTATTGCTTGTGCCAAAGGGGTAATTTATGTATTCATCCATATTAATCATAAGCAAGCAGGAAATTGCCTAGGGGGTTTGGAAATGCATAATGGTTGAATTCCACATTGGCACATAAAGTCATACTTGTAGGGTGAAGTAGATGTTGGGAGCCCATATTGCCATCAACTGTGGTAACTAGCAAAACACCTTATTGATGTATCACCTGTAGAATCAGAAGAGATTCCAAAGTAGTAGGGTGCACCTGCCAGGTGGTGCCAGGGGAGGTACCCAGGTACCGCCTGCTCCCACCCGCCAAGAATTGGCAAAGGTTCTTGTCAGGAAGGTTTTCTCCTGATAAGATGGCTTTAAATCTAACTTGTTGGGAGGTTTTCCTCCCAATGAGCTGATCTTAAGCTCATTAGCGGGGTTCACAATAAGCTTTTTGCTTCCTGAACCCAGCTTAAATTTTTCCTGAATTATGAAATCCTGAGCTTAATTTAAGCCTGGATTTAAGCTCAGAATCCCAACTCAGGAACCTCTAAGTCTTCCTGAGCTCAGGAAGCTTTAAGGGTTCCTGAGTGCAGATTAAGGCTTAAAATTCACAAAACCTTTCCTCAATTGGTTGAATATTAAGCTTAGTTTTGTCTAAAAATTAAGCCAAGGTTTGAGCGCTCCCAAATACTGAGTAGCTTGACTTTCTTCCTGACAAAATCCTATCATGAACCCTGCTATTGGGAGGGTTTCCTTCCGATGAGCTGATCTTAAGCTAAACCCTCCGAATGAGCTGATCTTAAGCTCATTGGGAGGAAACCCTCCCAATGAACTGATCTTAAGCTCATTCGGAGGAAACCCTCCCAATGAACTGATCTTAAGCTCATTCGGAGGAAACCCTCCCAATGAGCTGATCTTAAGCTCATTGGGAGGAAACCCTCCCAATGAACTGATCTTAAGCTCATTGGGAGGAAACCCTCCCAATGAACTGATCTTAAGCTCATTGGGAGGAAACCCTCCCAATGAACTGATCTTAAGCTCATTGGAAGGAAACCCTCCCAATGAACTGATCTTAAGCTCATTTGGAGGAAACCCTCCCAATGAACTGATCTTAAGCTCATCGGGATGAAACCCTTCAAATGAGCTGGATTGTCTACCAACTCATCAGGAGGATATACTCCCAATGGGCTGGATTTAAAACTCATTCAAATGTTGATTATCATTGGCCTCTCCAGCCCTGCCTACGGTTCCTAGGGTGCTTTGATTACAACTTATGTGGGCCATACTGATTGATTCTTCTTGAAGGGCTGCATCCAGTCTGAGTTTACAAATATAATCACTGTGGAACCAATCCAATTGGAATTTGCTGAGATTGGAGAAATCTGGGCATATATCGAGCACACTCATTGGGATCATAAATGGAAATGGTCTGTCCAAAAACCATGGATGCAAGACTATTGCGCCTAGTGAAGGTTGTTCCTCTGGTTTTTGATTCAGGATAAGTGAAATTAGATCAGTGGCAGATGGGAAATTTTTAATTTCTTGATCGGGTGGGAAATGATTTTTGCATTGTTTCAATAGAATTGGTTGATATCTTTGGTCTGAAACAGCGGTTTACCAATAAGTAAAGCGTATCTGGAAGCAACAAGTCATGTTTAAAACAAGCAACACTGTACGAAAACCAAGTCTTGGTTTTTTTGTTGGTCTTCCATAGAAGTAACATGCAATGAGTGAAAGTAGAGTGTAGACATACAGAATGACCCCAACAATCCAAATATCAACTTCAGCACATCAAGAGTATATCATCCTGATGATCTGGTTTTGAATCCAGCCCATTGGGAGGGTATTCTCCCAATGAGCTGGTACACAGTTCAGCTCATCGGGAGGAAACCCTCTCTTCCCACCCGCCAAGAAGTTGGCGGGTGGTAACATGGGATAACACACCATCCATTTTTGGTGTGTTGGCCGGCACACCCTTTTTTAGGGAGGTGCCGCCTAGAAAAGGGTGTGCACACCCACACACCAAAATATGATGGCATGCACACCCACACACCATTTTTTTTGGAGTGTGGGCAACAATAATTGTGAAAAAAATGAAAAAAACTCACCTGGGACTCTGGGAGTGAACCCTGAAAACAATAGAAAAAAGTGAAAAAGTGACTAAAAATGAAAAAAGAGACTTGGGACTCTGGTATGGAGGCACTGACGTGCCAAATGATCCAGAAAAATCACAAAATGAAAAACTGTTTTTTGAATGAAACAAGTCACCAAAATGCCCATACAAGCAACAAAACAGCCTTCAATAATGCAGTATTTCATGGATTCCCAACTGCAAGGGGCATGAATATGGGGCTTGTGCTTCTGCATGTCTTCACAATTATAAAACACAAAAACCTCATCAGTAGTCATGTCCACAGGACCGGTCATACATAAGACCCTTGTAAGTGTAATAAATGATTGTCAAACAATACAACCATAACACCCCCAACAACCATCAGATTGGCCTTTCAAACCCAAGCTAAGATATTTGTACCTCTGATCCTGCTGTGCATTTGCCAATTGACCAAAGAAATTGTGGCATCCCCAAGCTCACCACACCATCAAGTTGATACCATGAACATTACTGCCAGCTCTTTTGGTGATCAATATCAAGAAATTGTTATCCAGATGGTTGATAATGGCCTCTCTTAATCAGAAATTCTCAAATCATTAGAAGAAAACTACTCAGTTACAATTTCACAAAGGACATTATCTCA